GTTATCGAGTGTCAAAGATTCCCGAGTGTAGCGTCTGTGTGCGCGGCCCATTCCGTAAAGAGCCGTTTTCGTCCCGAGTGCTATATCATCCCAAATCGTATCGCGTCTGTGTGTGGGAGCCGTTACAGTTTCAATTACCTTCTGTACATTAGCCTAACACACTACTTTGTGCGAGGTAGGCAGAAAATTGAAACACATATTTCCTTGGATGTGCCATATTTACGAAAAAATTCATATAGGTATTTTGCCGGTCACGGTAGCCGAGCGGTCTAAAGCATGCGATGTCTTCCTCGCCCAGGGCATGGGTGTTTGGTGTTTGTGTATGCGTGTCTGTTTGTCTGTGTTTGTGTACAGGTGCAGGATTTTTAACGAGCTGATCAACCGTCCAAGGAATCCTACCGAATTTCTAAGATCTAGTAAACTGAAGTGAAACGGAGAGTTTCATGAAGTAGACCAAGGCCCAAATTGGGGCTGTAGCTGCAAAGAAAAGAGATCATTTGGAGCAGCTGGTCACAGTAACCACGCGGTCAAAGGAATGAACTATCTTCGCTCGCTCTGACGGGGTCGTGGGTTCGAATCCCAATTAAGGCACGGTTGTTTAGCATATTTATTCGTTTTTTCTGTGTTTGTGTTGCCCTGTGTTTAGGCAGAAGTCTTGCGGCGAGCTCATCACTCGTCCAAGAAGTACTACCATCAGTGGAAAAAATTATTACAGAACTGATTAGGAGACCATAACCTTATATGGGCTGGAAGAGCCATTGTAATCAAATCACGAGCAGGGCCTTTTTCTAAGATATTGTGACATGTTGATCCCTACCGCCCCAGCTCCACGTAGCGGTAACTTAGCGCTCGCGTAATAGGCGAGTAATCACCCCGCAATGCGCAACGCGCGGTGACGTCACGAACGGAGCCGAAGAGAGCCGAGCGGAGCCGAAGATAGCCGAGCCCCCGTAACCTGGTAACTATGCAATGCTAATCAACAGCGGTGACGTCACACTAGCAACAGCGTCCTAGGCTATATGCCACGTCACACTAGCAACAGCGCAAGGCTATATAAGTGGACTCCACAGCAGCTACGGGTTCAGTTGAAACATAGCAGCCTGCGAGTGTGCGATAACTAAGAAGTCAGCGAGCGGAAGACTTATTGTGTGCTTTCCAGACATAGTGAGTGCTGTAGTACAGTTATACTCGGAGTGTGTAATTCAGGGAGACTTGTATAGCTCCCGCATTAGTAGTACGTGAAGACAAGTGAGGACAGTGTTAAGAGATTTTGTTGTAGGGTTTGTAAACTGTGGAAACCCGTAACATTGTGATAAGTAATTGTAGCCGATAGTTGTAAATTGTTGAATAAACCAATTAACGATCTCTACGGCGTATTCTGTAACGTAAACACGTTACACTGGTGTCAGAAGTGGGATCAGTAACGCAAAACACGTGACAATATGCTTGCCAGTATTACAATCGAAAGAAACATCAAGATCGAAGTATAAAATGAGCTGGTAGATACGCGACATTTCACAGGTTTCCCGGTGTGCATCAATTGTTTGGAAGTATTCTTGCCGGCACCTACCGGCAGAAGAAAGGCATTGTTAGTATCTATCAATGTTTCAGTACCTGGGTCCATATATGAAGGTCAGTCAAATAAAACGTTTCAGAAACCAAAACATATTAAAGAACATAATACATTTATCCCACTGGTAGATAAGAAGGTCAATGCGATCCTTGAAAAAGCTTGTGGGGTGTCTTCGGAACTACATATTTACCCAGCCAAAATCGTCTTCGTCCGATGCAAACCGATGTCCCCGAATGTCTCTCTTCAGGTCTACAAAACTATGAAAATCACATGGGGAGAGATCTGGGCTGTAAGGGTGATGTTGAAGCACTTCCAAATCAAATCTCTGTAGCGTATTCCTCACAGGGTTTGCAGTGTAGGGGCGCGCATTATCATGAAGAAGGGTAATGCCGTTCTATAGCATTCCAGGGCGTCTCGACTTTATGGCACATTCAGTTTCTGCAAAGTGTCTTCATAGCGCTGTGCACTGACTGTGGCCTCATGCTGGAGAAATTCGACAAGCAGAAGGTCCTTCCAGTCGAAGAATAACGTCATCATCACTCTACTGGAACTTGTGTGTACGACTCTGGATTTCTTCGGTGGGGGAAAATTCACGTGTTTCCACTGTTGGCTCTGCCGTTTGCTGTCGGGTTCAAAATGGTGGCACCAAGTTTCTGTCCCCAGTGGCAATACGGGACAGAAAACATATTCATTCTCATGGTATCGTTGCAAGTGACCCAGTGTTGCAGCCATTCTGAGTTTTCTATTCCTCCGTGAGTTGATGTGGAACCCACTGCGCGCAGATTTTGCGGTACAGCAGGTGGTTTGTCACAATGACGTGTACGGAAACGTGACTTATTCCAATCAAAAGACTAATTTCTTCCACAGTGATCCATCGGTTTGCCCGGATATAACCGTCCAACGCAGCAATAACATCAGGAGTTATGACACGATGAGTCTGTACTGGGCGAGCATTATCTTGCAGTGAAACACGTCCCTCTCTGAATCTCTAATGGCAAACCAGCACAAGCGAACGTGACATGCTGTATTAGCCGTAAACAACAGACATGCGACGAAGAATTCATCGTCCTCCTACTCCTTCAGCAGTCAAAAAGCGCACTACACTTCGCTCTTCTTTTTACCCTCCTCCATTACTGATGTTTGACTACCACACGAAGCGCTAACCTTATTTCCAGGACAATAAACAAACGAGTAGTGTGCAAGGGCACGTTGTCACTGTGCTTTCCCGAGTCCCCACCAGATGTTCGTACAGTAAGCAAATTCTAGTTTTGCCAACTTGCGCGCCATGTGAATTATGCGTGGTGACCCGTTTTCATTTGACTGCCCCTTATATTTTTATTACTGCCTGCTATGATTATTTTGTCTTGGTAATAATAGTAATTAAATACCTGTACACTACCAGGTATTTGCGACTTCTGTGAATTTAAACAGTCAAAATTATTAATGTAAATTATTGGTACAGAGATATTTGGTTTTCGGACTACATCCATTTTCCTGGTTTTTAAGAAAATTAAGAAAAAGCACGAGGTTTCGGAAACTGGATCTGTTTCCATCCTCGGGTGAGGGAAAACACCTATTCCGTTGTGTCCCTAGAAAGAGCTAGCCTCAGTCGCTGGACAATCAATGTCAAGGTCAAGGTCATGTTACAACTGACGATCGGTCAGTCAGTCTGTCTTGGTGTCCAGCCCCAGCTGGTGCTCATGACCAGATATTTCTTTTGAATGAAAGTTAATGTCTTGTCTATGTGTAGCGCCCTCTCTGACGAGAGGTCGGGTCTGTCATTTGTTAGTCAGTCTGTATTAAGTCTATTGTCTGTATTTACATACATTTACAAATACACACTTATTCCGTACTTCTATGTACAATATATACACGGCCTCTGTCAGTCCAGGCTAGGTACAGCAGATTATGCCCTTTATATATGTAGATATATATANAGGAATAAACTCTAATGAACGTTCTGAAGGCCTTGGCTTCAATCATTTCTATGTGTAATCTCCAAGTTACTCTCTTATCGAAGATTACACCTAGATATTTTGCACTATTTACAAATGGAATGTTTTTTCCATTTAGAGTAAGACAAGACTCAGGCGGTCGACGACCACGAGAGAAGTAGACCCCCCGAGTCTTATCTTCATTATTTTTTATATTCCAGCGCTCACACCAGGTCTCCATTGAGCTGAGACCGCGCTGGGGTTTTCTAACAATAAAACCCTCTTTGCGATCTGTCGCATATAGACAGGTGACATCCGCAAAAAGGGCCAAATGAATACCATGAGTTTGGGGGACATCATTAATATACATGTTAAAAAGGGTGGGGGAAAGGACTGAACCTTGTGGCAACCCTGCTTGCATTTCCCTTGGCGTTGAAGGACAATCGATGTCACAAAACACAAAGGTTACAAACACCTGAAACCAGACTAAGTCCGTGAGAGCTAATAAGAAAAATATACATAACAAATTGTTCCAAACACACACAAGCGTGGAACCAGGTTAGATAGAGCCGCAGAAATTTATGTCACGAAACCAAACTAATAACCAAGTCCATGACCACAAGGCATGGAATAGAAAAGAGAACTAGTAAAAAACTAAAGTTTCTTTACTGTCTACATACACTTTTTTTTTTATTCTCATAGTGGGGGGTGGAGTCCAGTTGGGTCCACTCGGCACGGCGACCACTGATTGGCCTATTGTACCTGCCCCGGGTAATTATGATGATGGAGAATTTGCTGGAATGAAGATTGGCAGGGGGAGACCGAAGTGCCAGGAGAAAATCCGCCCCAGCGCCACTTTGTCCACCACAAATCTCACTTGACTACACCTGGGATCGAACCCAGGCCGCCGCGGTGAGAAGTCAGCGACTAACCGCTTGAGCTATGGCGCAGCCGTTTCATACGCTACTAAAAATATATCGAACGGTGCTAACAATTACTTATCTCTGGTATACTTCGCATAGAATACCGCAACTACTTTGACGAAAACAACTTCATCTATCACAGCCTAAAGCAAGACAATTAGGCAATTTAGTCTCTGACATCATCCATGTCTTTTTACATCAGGCACGACCCATTCCTTCATGAAAACTTCTGCGCCACGGTGACTACGGAGGAGTCGTAACCGGTCGTGACAAAATTCTGACTCACTTGAACATTGACACATTGCACTGAAGATTTACCATGCAAGTTCATGCGCACATCATATTTCACAATATTAATAATATTATCAGTTACACCAACCTGTAAATATGACTTCATTTGATATTCAGATGTATGATTCTACTTACTTAGAGCCAGTTGCAATATTAAACAGTCAGCTGAATGTCTCGAATATCTAATTCATCGTAAGAACATTACGACTCACTACTTTGACAAGTCACGAATCCCACAGAAACCTAAAATATAGGATTTGAATATACGGGGTTGGTTACAATTGCAGACCATCAGTAGCCGACCTCAGTTTAGGACTTGCGTCGGGTTGTAATAGTATTTCTTTGCATTTGTGAGGCGTAGTAGTAGTTGTTGGACTATGGCTTCGTTATGTGCAAGAATTTCACTTCATTCTTCTCGTCGAAAGACTTTATATTCTTGTATCAGACTTGCTAATACATGTAAGTCGAGATTTACAGAAACAGTTTCGTGAAAATTATGCGTGGGAGGGTAACTTCGTAGGCGACGAATATCAGCATGAGATGTTCTGAAATGGTCTTCAGTAGGCAGACTGGGCGAAAAAGAAAAATTGTGTTAATGTGTTATCACTACCTAACATGGAGTAGGAACGTTGCCAATTTTCGCTGCAGTAGGGTTTCTGTAAGGCGGTAGTTTTTACGGCCATTTTCTTCAGCAGTTGTCCGTAGCAGAGAAATGCACTTTTTTCAGTCAATTTTGAGTAAATTATGCTTTAATTGTGCTCAGGGAATAATTAAAGACGTGATATCAAGCATCATTTTAGTTGAGAAGAATGGCATCTTTGGCAAAAATGCAAGTATGCACCGCGAGAGGGAGAAACTTGAGAAATGGTACACGGCGAATCCAAATCATTTTGTGCTGTACACCCAGTTGGACTACATAGCTTAAAGGTATCGGGGAGACATTTCAGTAAAGACAATGGGAATTATATTTGCATGGTATAGCCAACATTTTCTTAAACTACAGTAGTTAGGCGTTTATTGGGTTGGTTTGTGTACTGTTACCATGTATCGCAAGCATGTTGGTAATTACAATTCTTATGTGAAAAGAAGCTGAGGTATGTGTCGTGATACTGTCAGTGTTGATCAACGTTGTTCTTATTTTATTTTGCAGTTACAGACCCAAAGGAGTTGGCTACTGGGCTAGAAAAGCGTGAAATACTTAATGATGAAGCTGGAAAGGATCCTGTATGTTACTGTTTTTTAAGAACTATATTGGATTATCATATTCCAATGTAGCATATGGATTAGAGACATTTTAATGTTAATTTTCGCTTTTATTGCAGGACCCATATGGTCTAGCAGTTAAGCGAGGACCAGGTACCAAAGATAAACCTAATCTGATTCCCTCAGCATTTGACTCAAGAATTATTGGCTGTCTGTGTGATGATGAGTCCACACACATAAATTGGATGTGGCTCCACAAGGGAACGGCATCACGGTGTGGATGTGGCTACTGGTTCAAGCTGGTGGAGAAACCTGCTTTGTAGTTCCTTTGTAGGTGGCTCAGTACTTGTAGACTTTTAATTCTGTAATCTTGGAAGTGGACCAGAATGGTCTAAGCACTTAAAAGTGCTTTATAAGATGCAATCTTCTGTGTATAGTGTTTGAAGAAAAATAAAATTATGAGAGTTCCATGTTAGTGTACAAGTAAAGGTTTTATAAGTATGACTGTTCTAGTCCTGTTGCTATTAAATTAACTGCATATAAGTGGCCTTTGGAAATAGAATTCCTATCACCATGTCACATTAAACATCGACTGCCTTTTTCTGTAAGTAGTTTTATGAAGGATTAGTGTACTAGGGGAATGTCTTCTGAAATTAATTTGACATAAAATAGTAACACTAGTTTCGAGTTGTGTGCAAATCCAGAGAAATTCGTCCCTTACTCTAAATATAATAATATAATTCAAAGTCATGTGGGAGATATGGTGGACAAAGTGGCATTGAGGCAGGTTTTCTGAGAGTACTTCATTTTTCCCTTGTCAAGTTATTGTTCAGAGTTCAATCCAGTAAGTGTTAACGTAGTATATTTCAGAAGAATAGTAAACACTGCTTCCCTGAGTGAGGGAAAAGCAAAGTAATGACACCATCAGTGAAGATGTTTTACGAGCTTTAATGGAGAGGTCATGATGTACACAAGTGAAGGCTTTCGTAATAGAAAGTCAGGCTAGAAACCAAGAAGCAGAGCATATGAAGAGTACCATCTGGTGTGTAATACTATGTAGTCTGAAGAAGTGCACCAACGTTCTGGGGTAATATCCTGCCTGCTACTCCGGGGTTAAAGGGTAGGTGGCAAGCAGAGTCTATGAAGATAGTTCGTACTGGTATGTAATGCTTTGTTGTCCGGTAGATGTGTTCCGACATTCCAGAGGAATGTACTGCCTCCTTTTAATTGGTCAAAGGCAAAGTTGATCAGTAAACGAACACGAACCATGTAGCAAGGAGACCTCTGTGGCATTCTAGTCTGTCTGATTGCCAGTTTACTTTATTTTTGCCTGAACATTGAATAAATCAGGTGATAAATAGTCCCCATGTCTGTATTGATTCACACTTTCTTTTACAGTTTGTTGAGTTGCTGTCACATCTGTGATCACATGACCTGTCCTTCCATAAGCATATTATTCTTGTAGCTGGATAATATCACATAATTATGAAGTCTTATTTCAAAATATGTGTTGTGTGGGTATGTAGTATTTTAAAATTACCCTCTGTGAAAAGTTAAGCCGGGATAGCATAGTCTGTATATCAACTGGCTACAGGCTCTACTACCAAGAGGTTTGAGTCCCAGTAGGGTTAAGAATTTTCGCTTCTCCAAGTTTTCCAGGCTGGCTCTGGGGTCCACCCAACCTCCTGTCCAATGGGTGCTGGGGCTCTTTCCCCATGGGTGAAGCAGCCAGGGCGTGAAGCTGACCACCTTGAACTGGTGCCAAGCTCAATAAAATGTGGATTTATGCATACACCTTAATGGCACAGTGCCTAATTACTTAAGCACAGGGACAACTTTACCTCTGTGAAAAGTATTTTAAGTTTGTACACAGTTTGTACAGAAAAGTCCTACTATTTTGTGTATGCAGCATTCAAAATATCGAAAATATGTCCAACTTTACGTAGTTCGTCATAGTTTGCGTCATTGTCATTAGATTCTAAAGGATTCTGACAGTGGTGGATGACACACAGAATTACTGGGTTTTTGGACTTTTTTCCATTGTCTGGAATTTTAGGTAGTAGAGGACATGATGTTTCAGAAACTGGATCTGTTTCTGTCTTCAGGTGAGAAAGGAAGATACCTACTCAATTGGGTCCCTTTTGAAGAGCTAATCTCAGTCACAATCAATCTAGAATTCTGGATGATGGAAAAAGTCCAGAACCCAGTAATTTTGTGTTTGTCATTGTTTGAAAAGTGGAGATATCTAAGAATGTGAAAGAATATGCCGTGTCTTATCATAAGAAAGTGAAAGGAACTGTTAAGTAATCTTAATAGCTTGCATCCTGTTGTGTGTCATAAGTAAAATATACAAAAGTATATATGGTAGGCCATCTAGACAACAATGTTCTGTATTTAAAAAAAACAGAAGACTTTAAATTTTTATGAATTACGATTAATTATCATCTAATTCTTCAGTTCTAGACTGGTCTAGCCTGAACCACTACAACATAGCGACCAAGCAGGGAGCAGCCCATACACACAATTCAGGAAAACAACCTAATATGCATGATATACTGAATAACGAGTGTAAGCTCCGTAAGACATTACTAAGGTCATGACTACGTGACCTATCCCATGGAAGAAGATTCTGATACGTGAATGCCCCACGCTATAGTCGCTTCTACCGGCATAAAACCAGGCCAACATATAGCTGTTGCAGAGTCTTACCACAGAAAGAAAATTTTAACTTTCATGTCTTAATCTTTAGTTTTAATTTGAATCTTAAGATCTTTAATTTTAAATGTTTATTAGCTGAGGATTTTCAGTTTTAAAATTTTTGACCAAAAATTAATACATGTATTTGTGCATTTCAGTAATTTCAAGGCACAATAAGGATCCTTATTTGAAGAATTGAATGATAATTAATTGCAATTCATCAGCTCATACTGGTGCATTGTACGCCTTATGATGACCCAATATAAGGGTCGAAACGTGTTGTGTCTGTAAAAATATAATAAAAGCAAATGTTGATAGAGTAGTGTCTTCTTTGTTTTTTAAAGACAGAATATTGTTGTGTAGATGGCATACCTTATAACTGTTTAGTTGATCAGTAGTGTTTCAAGTTGTCGTTTGCCATTTGAATAATAATTGCCAGAAATGCAGACATTTCAGATTCCGTGACATGAGATACTGGGGAAGGTCTGATATCAAAGAATGCTAAGTATTGATCTCCACCCACAACTGCAAAATACAACATGGAAACCCTGTATGGATTGGAGTCTCTATTTGTGTGGGGTGCAACATTTTGTTTTTTGTCAGTCATATGACCAGTGAATTGATAGATGTTGCTTGTCCTGCCCATCAAATGTCCACATGTTGACACTCCTTTGAATGCAAGTGGGGTTGGAATCAAATAATAGTCAGAATTTTCATTTGTGTTTACTTCAACACCTATATGACTAGTCCATTAGTTATCCTTTGTTGTATGCTCCTAGGCAGGGTGCAAATGGAGTTTGTTCCACCTTGCCTTCTTGTTGGATGTTTCATCAGAGTTTTCTTCTTTTGCCTCGGATTCACTGTTAAGTATTTAGTCTGTCTTTGTCCAGTCATTTTCTTGATATTCATGATGTCATGTCCTTGTGGTGTGAGAGCAGAGGTAAACTTGAAATATGATTTAGTGAGATTGAAGAACAGTTTGCTGTCATTGTTCTCTTCCTGTTTCAGAAGCCCTTAATTGTTTAGTCTCATAAGTGATGTTTATTGTACGATGTGCCCGCTCTCTTCTTACATCAGCAGAATGGCAACAGTTATGTTTTGGGAGACTTGTTTTGATGGAACAGGAGTCTGAAAGCAAGGTTCAAGAAATAGCTATGTAATGTCCAGTTGTCGAAATTATCTGACACTAAGTACAAATTCACCCTGAAGTGAACATATGAAAACAGTGGAACCTATTCTGAAAGAAACGTGGAGAAAGTGAGAGAGAGAGAGAGTGTGTGTGTGTGTGTGTGTGTGTGTAGAAAATTTCATAAACCTTGAATACAGATAAATGGATTCATTCTGAACAGTATGGTTTTCATTTACAGCTTACAGCTTCAAAAATGCAACAAAACTAACTTTTTATGCCAGACCCCAGATTTTATTTTTATGAATATAATAGGAATATTAGCTTCTGAATGAGATGCTGTATACTTCCATAGGTGCTTTTATTGTCTCAAGTTTCAGTTACTGTACAGACCTTTGCATGTAGATTTTTGGATTAGTAGGACTGTTAAATAATGGCTGGAAAGTGCAATAATTCTATCAGAAGCTGTAGTTGTTCGAGTATTGCAGTATGAATCTGGCAGCTACAGGCTCATATGTTTGAAATGGAAGATGAGTCTACCCAGAGGGTGTTTAATGGTTATGTAGTATGTCAGTAAAATTACCAAATGCTTAAATACCTCACTGTGATGACATAGCGGAATGGAGGTATCGCTGAGTACATTTGTAACCTTGACAACAGATAGAGGTAAGTGGCCGGATTCATGTTTCAGCTCCTTTATCATGAACCACTCTGGACAGAGTGGTAAGGAGAAAAATGTCTACCTCAGTCAGTAATGTAGTTTGAGGTCAAGAAATGTTTAAGATTCAAAATAGAACCAATCTGTTCAGTGGTACTGTAATGGTTGGTTTCATAATTAAGTAAATTTTATGTGTACTGTCTAGTTCAGCCTTTATAAGTTGTAGACAGTTGTATTTCACTTGGCTTTGTCCTAATTTACTGAAAGGAAAGAAGGCTTAAGGAGGTATGTTTCAAAGTCCATGATAGAGACTGCATTGATAGGAGAGTAAGGCAGTAGTAAGTTCAGGCATCACCAATGAATATGATCGAAAAGTTCAGATTTTGTTATCCGAACCACACCATGCTATAGAAGATTTTGGCAGTCTGAGTTAACATGTATAAATACATTAGTTTTACAGAACATCAGAAAAATTGGTTGTACAAATGTTACCCAATTTAAATTGGTAAACACATTTCACAGGATTAAAGTGAGCATCAAGATGTACATATTTATGTAAAAAAGATGTCTGTGAACCAACTTCATGGAGTGGAGCCCTTCTTGAGAAGCCGCCAATTGTGTGGCTACTCAGAAACTTCCCAGGATGTTCTGGAACCCTAAGATTCATTACCATGTTCACAAGAGCCCTCCACTAGTCGCTATCCTGAGCCAGATTGATCCACTTCACATCACTCCATCCTATCTCTCTTTAAGATCCATTTTAATATTGTTCACCCATCTATATCTTGGTTTTCCTAGTGGTCTCTGTACTTACGACTTTCCCACCAATATCCTATATGCATTCCTCATTGCCCCCCTTCATGCTAAATGCCCTGACCATCTCATTCTCCTTAACATGATCATTCTCCTTATATTTGACAAGGAGTACAATGTATGAAGCTCCTCATTATGCAGTTCTTCCAGTCTTCTGTCACTTAATCTCTCTTCGGTCCAAACATT